ATTTTAAATAAAATGCACAGTATTAAAATGAACAAATCAAAATTTAAAAAAGGAGATGTGGGGCTGGCGACGGCAACTCCATTTCACATGTTTGCGAATGACTGCCTCATGATCCAACACGAACATATGGCAACGGACATCCGTTGAAATCCCAACCCCCCCCCTCATCTGCTACAGAATAGGCAACAGAGAACTGAGAGTTTAAAGCTGATGTGTAGCCTTATAAAGAAGAAGCGTCAAAAGGCATCGAACATCTATGGACTCTACTATCTGGAAAGTTCTTCAACAATCATCTGTCTGATAAAATCAAGACTACTGCCAGCCATTTGCGCTCATCTGCGGCTCTCGCTAAACTGCCGTAATCAAACAATGATGAACGATCGCCATTTGATGGACTGCCACCGTTGAAGCGGTAGCAGAAAGAAGTTATCATCCATTGCTCTTAGCTATTGGGATCAGTAAGATGGACGCAGTTTTTTCAACACCCTCGTCATTACCACTTACGTTAGCTTCGCAATTGCACAGACAATTTCTCTGATGCTGTGCCGTAGGCATATTTGAAAACATCCCGAGGAATACATTGAATACAGAATACATATTGCACAGACAAGTTCATTTTTATGTAAGTCCTTTCATCAGATTATGTTGAAGAACTTTCATATCTTGATAAGATCATATGCGGAAATCCACACATTTCGGTAATCAGTGAGTTAATTATGATCTATATCACTTCAAAATAAGTAACTAATTCTCTGACGTACTTGGATAGTTTTCCAGCGCATACATGAAGCAGTCGCGTGCCAGAATGGAGTGCATCTGAATACCTTGCCTTAGCTTCACTTTTAAGGTTTATGTCACGAAGTCGTAAACTTTCAACCAATGAAATAAGATTGTCACATATTTATGGCATAGACATCCTGGATGCAGTATGGCATGGCAACAAGTGGCTACAGATATCTAAATATTGCAAGCTTTCAGTGATTTTGGAGCAGAAGGACAGTTTCGACGATTTGACAATTTCTAGGGTATATAGAAGTGGTTTAGTCAACAGATTTAAACTGTCTATGTTAGGTATGGATATAATAGGATTGAGAGAAGACCTCGTCGAGTAGTTATTTTGCACGTAAAGCATGTTCATAAGGGTAACAGATTCGAATATGATGCATGCAGCATAGAATGACTGCTACGCCAATGTACATTGGCACCAAAGTCAATGTGCACTGTTTGATGAACTCCGCTTCCTAGTAGCGTGTACGAATAAAAATTTCATTCAAAGAGAAATTGAATGATTCTCTCAGTTCAAAAGGAACAGAATCGACGAAACGTTCTCACCATCCATTTTCAGAATATTTATCCAAATGCGTGAGCCATCATTTCAGCGTAGTTTGTCAGACGCTTGTCTTCCTCTTTGCTAGATATGTGCCAAAGCATAAACAGGTCGGCTAGCTTTGAATGTTACTGTACGATCATCTGATTGTTTCGTTGCTTCTGAGTTCATGACAAGTTATTATGGTTAGGTGAAATATCTACTGTCGTACTTACCTTTATCACATGATCTTAATTCTTATTCGTTCTCTACAGTATGTACGCTAAGATTTTCAAGGAGATAAAGTCAGCAGATACTAATGGATGCTCTCGATAGTGTCGTGTATAAATAAGCGTTAGGCTTCAGATGCAAACACAAACACAGCATACCAAAAGCAGTACTCGGTCTAAATTTCAAATTGTGCTATAACAACAGCTGACCAACAGTGTAAGCTACAAATTCATTTAAAGTTTATACTATCACTACTAAACTAATTCTACTAGGCATAAACTTTAAACGCGTTTATATAACTAAAATATTGAATGCGTTACTACATTTCATGCCCTTCGTTGTCCGTCGAAGCCGCATTATAAAGGATTAAGGGTGGAGACCGCGGCTAAGTATTCGTAAAACTCAATCACCTTCACCTCATGGTATTTCCGTCGTCGAACATTATACTGGCTCAGTCGTCCCACGGGTTACAAAGGGCCGCGCAGGTTGTTGGAGGATTGAGTAAGGCTGCGAAAAGTCAGCAATCAGAACCTGCTCATTGCCCCCTGCAAGCCGGAGTCGTAACACCACAGGTTGCTGCTTGCAGACGACTTTGTTTTGTTTGCATCTTCTGAAACTGATCTTTAGTGCTCCCTAGAAAGGTTCGCAGCCGAGTGCGACGTGACCGGCATGC